ATCGGAGATTGTAAAAAAAAAAAAAAAAAAAAAAAAAAAAAAAAAAAAACCAAGATCAACATGAAGGGCACACTGAAACCATTCATTTTTCTCGTTCTTCTTTTAACTCCCCCTTCACCGTGCCTCCCACAGTCAAGGCTCACCATGTTGATGGCGTTTAGAAAGCTGCCCGCATCCTTGTGTGCCATAACGGCCCACTCGTACGCTGTGAGGAAGAGGCGGAGTAAAGGGGGAGGGGATAAACACAGAGAAGAAAGATGGAGAGAAGACAAACAAAGAACGACAAAGGGAAAGTAAGGGAAACCTGGGAAAGTACGGAATGCGATGAAGATGAAGGCAAAAGAGAGGATAAGAAAAGGTTCAAGAACGAGTCTGTCGGACTCCATCCTTGACGACAGAGAGGACATAAATTGTAAGGATGAGGTGAATGAACACACCTAGCTGAGCACTCTCAATACAACAATTGCCATGATGGCTGGCATTGAGCATGCCCACCAAATGGCATGCCGATTACAGGCCAAGATAAAGGAAGAACATCCAAAGCCGTTGCCCTTTATTTAAAAAAAGAAATGAAAAGAAAATGGAAACATTTCAGCGGCTGTCATAAGCCCATGTGGATCATCTTTATCTTTCCATACACCCAGCACCACAAAAGATTAGGTCTGCCAAAGGTTTCCTCTCTTGTGGACCGTACTGTCACACTTTGTCTTTGTTTACCTTGACTACATCTTTAGGCTCTTGGAAGGAGCACATTTTCTTTACGATAAAAAATGGTAATACGACACAATGATGATGATGATCATCATCATCATTGCCGTCATTGTCACAATCATCGCCATCATTGTCATCATCATCAGGAAACACGGAGTTCTTCCCTCTTTTCCCCAGTGATTTGAGATGGCTACGCTGCCACCCCCGACCCTAAAGCCTCAGCCTAAGGACGAGTAAGGAGTTAATAGGATACCCATTTCAAGAGTCAGGTTATAGGACAGTGCACTAGAGTGGTGTTTCTAACTTTGCAGTGTTGGAGCATGATACGTTTCCCTAGATGCAGCACAAGCCAATGAGGCTGAACTTTTGGTCCAATGCAGGAGATCATGTTCATGTTCTGGTTCCAAGAGTCACAGTATTCTTCAAAGGCATTTGGCAGACGTTGATTAGACAAACATCATTCACCGCACACCTAGTCATGCTACTCTTGTTCTCTTTTCCCGCTGTGGGTAGCATATGCTGTCTTTTCTGAGAACGTTACCTGTCGTACCCCTGTGGCCATGGTGGGGGCAGTGCATGTAGAGACGATACTGTGATGAGAGTCCTGTCTGTTAATGCAGTGGTTAATGCTGTCAACCATATCCCTACAGCAGCCACAGGATCCATGCAAACGTGGCAGATCAGACTCCCTGCCACACCCTGCGCAGCCATCTGATCAGCGCAAACATTATGGCCAACGCTCCCTGCAATAGCCTTGCAGGTATGCAGGCATCACCCGACAACAAGAAAAGGTCAACATTTGCTCCCATATCCATGCAGTGGCAAGGGGCACAGTGTAAGCATCGGTTGTCCTCTGGGGTCCTCCGCATGGCGGCAAGCGAAGCACTAAGCATTATTAACTGCTGCTTTCTGCCCTGACCCTGTGCTACCCTGCCATGCCAGTCCGTGTTTTTTTTTTTTTTTTGAAAAAAAAAACAGAACCATTTGGTTCTGGCTCCTACCATTCTGGGGAGCGACAGTCCGGTTCCTATTCCCCCGGCAAGTCAATATGGAAAACATGGATGACTCACGCACGCTCCTCCCCATTATGGCTGGGAGGTCCGAGTGGACGGCATTGATTACTTCCCTGAGGAAGGATGTACCACCCCTCACCTCTGCCTATTTTAGCCTGTGCTATTTGATCTGTCAGACTGTTGCCCGTCTGTCTAGACCCAGTCCTGCTCCTCTCAGCTGTGATGCTGTCGGGTTGTTGTGTTATGCTAGAGCGGTCTGGAATGTCTGCGAACCTCTTGAAATCTCTGATGTCCTAGGCCCTATAAGCCTTATTCCTTTCTAACCTTTAAAACTACAACCCTTATGCTAAAACCCTGAACCCTTGTTGTCTGTAGTGCAGTTTTATGGTCTGTCCCTGCCTGGATTTTCTGTGTTTAAGCTGGCTGTTTATGCCTATGGTTTCTTGGTGGGGTGGTTGGGGTGGGGGGGGTGGTGACTGGGGGGGTCTGTACAGAGGTGAAGGTTTTGGGATTCTGGGTCGATGGGCTTGGGTTATGGGATTGGGGCGGGGGGGCAAGGGTACATGCGATAAGGGAGGGGTTGTGTTACAATGACCTCTTTCTTGCATGGCGGGTTGGCGTTGCTGCTGTTTCCTTTTGTGCCCTTTCTGTTTCTACATGGTACTAATCCTTGTTTTCTCTTAACCTCCTCTGTTCCTATGGCTGCTCATGTTTCTTCCCCAAGCTTTTCTTTCTTATCAGTCTAATTCCATTGCGTTTGTATTACACTGATTTGTTCTTGAGCTGTCCGGTTCCCACCAGTTCGTGAATTGAAGGGTTTTTCCACTTATCTTTGCCATTAGCCCCTCCTTCAGCCACTGTTGTTCAAATTCTTTCTGCATTTTGATCCTCTTTTGTTCCTCTATTTCCTTGTCCATTTTCCAAAGCACTCGCTTCCATTCGACTCTAACTCCTGTTTCTACCATTTCTCTTGCTTCTTCCCATGATTCATTTGCCGTTATCTTCTTTTTTCCTATTGTATTTGCACATCTGGCTCTCCATATTACCCACAGGGTTGTTCTTCGCAGTAAGTCTGCAATCTCTTTGTCCTCCTCGGGGATTATACCTTCCCTGTCTATTGCCGTAGGTAGGAGGAGTTGATCTGCCGGGAATTCTTTATTAAATAGGTTGGCCCAAGCCTTTTTGCACTTGAGCCAGAGCGCTGTGGCGTGTTGACATTCCATTAGACAGTGGGTTAGCGTTTCTGCTACCTGTTCTTGGCACATTTGGCAGTGTGCTGAGGAATCTGTTCTATCTTCCTTTCTCCTCCTTGTTTCTAACCACTCATYGGTGGGGACTGCCATGTAAATTATCAACCATTGCAAACTTCTCACTTTCTGAGGTCTGATCGTTGCATTGTAGGACCATGGGATTGCTTGTAAGAAAACGGGGTTTATTTGGAGGTTTTTTTCCCACCTTGCTTCTATGATCGGTTGTGGGTTTGCTAGCTTGCGTCTTATCTTATACCCCCGTTTTACTGTGTATTCGTGAAGCGGGATCCACTTCTTGGCTCTTCCCCTCCCTCTATTCTGGTACCAGCCCCACTCATTGGGGTCGACTTCTAGCTCCGATATGTCTTTATTTGGTCTAAATAAATARATGGGGGGTTCTACTTTCTTTCTTCCTTTCCTTGGTCCTACTTGTTCGTTTTTAAGTTCTCTGACCTTCCTCAGGTCTTGTAGGGGGAAGTCTAGGCTGATTAGGGTGTCCTTTCTGACTTCCACTATTGCTTTATCTGTGTCCTCCACCTCATGGACTTCAAATTTGGCTATCTGTCTATCAGTTCCCTCGTTTCTTGTGAAACGGAGGGCTACTGAGGGTGTTTCTTGTGACTTCAATGTTGCCCAATCTCCTTTCTTCCAAACTATACCTCTTTTTAGCGTTGACCTCCAAGCTATTGGGATACTGTCTATCATTTCTTCTAAGTTTTTCTGTAAATTGTGGTGGCCTTTCAGTTTAGTTCTAAGGTCCTCTTCTGATTTCCACCTGCTATTTCTCTCATCCCATATGTGCTCGATCTTCCATATGCCTTTCTCTACCCAAGTCCTCCATCTCTTCCCCCTCGCTTTGAGCGACCATGTTTTTCCATTTTGATCTTTCAAGAAGTCATTCCCAAATAGTGGTTGTCTCAAAATGCCAGTCCGTGTTTTAAGTATTGCATTTTCCATATTCTGTCCTCTGCGCATTCACTGTTCCCTTTCCCGTATGCTTCAAAATGAACGTTTGCTCCGATTATGACTAATGCATGAACGCAATCTCGTCGAGAAGCCAATCAACAATGCCACGCAAATCTTGACCCAGCGCTCAACATGAAGTCTCCAAAGATGATTGCGTGTCCATATCTCGATTGATTGCACATTTCAGAAGTAGCAAGTTATCATAGAAGAGCAATGTAGAGATAGATACGGGGAAGAATAGACAAAGAAGAGGGAGAGAAGAGTTACATTAATAATCAATAATACAAGCACATCGCTCTCCAACTCCCACTTCTTCTTCGGGCATCTCCCAACATCGCCACCTCATCAATGTGTGCTCTCCCTCTGACTATCACTGACATAGTCACTCTGCAGATTCCAGCAGTGCACCCATCCTCTGTCCACAATCCAAATCGAGCTATGGAGGATGGTGCAGTGACTGCAGTCCTTCGCCAACTTCGTGGCAGCTCAACCACATTGGTGACAGGTAAGTTCAGGTAAGCTTCCCCTTCAACCTCCCATCAATCTCACAGGCCGGATCCTCCTCTTGCTTGCCCAACTCTCCAGCTACAGCTATGGCAGCTTTGGCCGCTCCAACATGCCTTCCTACAAGCTTGGCGCCCTCAAGCACCTGGCGCCAGCACCTCCTTACACCAGCCTCCCGTGCAGTAACTTGGCCACAAGCCACAGCAAGGCAGAATGACTGTCCCCTCGGCCAGATCTTCTTCTTATAGCGTTGACTGGCGTTGATCAGCCTCCCACTGTACTGCGTCGATGGTCGAGATTTCCCTGACCTGAAGTCGATGGCCTGCATGCACTATTCACCCAGATGTGTCGTGTCCCTGTTGGAACTGGATTCTTCTGGAAGCCTGCAGACAATCTTTGATATGCATCTTATCTATGGCTGTGGTTGACTACTGGGAGACTTTGACGTTGGGCCCGCTTTTCCCGTGCTGGGTTTGACTCTTGACTGTCCAAGAGTCAACTGTCTGGTGTAGGGGTACTGGAAACATCTTTTGACTTACTAGAGCCTCATACCTCTCGAGTCCTGACCCTAGGGACCTCCTCAGACCTCTCATAGACTTTGGACGCCACTTTTGACGCCTGAAACTGGGCTTGGACAAAAGTTACGACTCTTGCAATTGACTGTGCAGATTTGGAGTTTATTGCACTAACCTTCAGCTGCCTGATAACGTCCTCCCTCCGCAGCTGCTCTGCAGCCCGTTCTTCAGCCATGCGTTGCTCCGATGCCTGAGTCTCTGCAGCAATGAGCTCAGCCTTCTTCCTCTTCTCATCATAAATCTTATCTTGTGCAACCTGTTCACAACGCTCAGACCACAAAGCAACAAAGGAGACAAAACGAATCATCAATTATGGCCAACCAGGAATTGCTTGGGGGGTTGGTGTGTTTGTGTGTGTGTGTGTGTGTGTGTGTGTGTGTGTGTGTGTGTGTGTGTGTGTGCGTTAGAAATGAAGAGTGCAAGGTTCACCGCATCTGTGGTCAAGAAGGAAGTGCCCACACATCTGTTCAATATGCACTTGCACCATGAAAGTCCAATTAGCAAGCAATAACTTGTATATCCATTTCATTCTGCAACCTGCACTGCACGATACACACCGACAGACGTGTAGTAACGTCTCCACCTAACAACCAATGCTTACCCCTCGGCAGCTGTTCCCTCATTGAATCCATGATCTAAAACCCTCATGTCGGACCAGAAGCGCTCCTGCCCAACGCACTCTCGCACGGCACTGAGAAGAAGAAACACGTGCTCCGAGAAGACAGCTTGCATGGGTCTCACCCACAGTACAGCGATGTGCTCCACAACGCATGTGCTCCAAAACAATGACGTGCTGAAGGAATTGCACCCACACTAAGCACCCCCCGAGGTCAGCCACAGCCATTTCAGCCAACAACTTCGGCTCAAAACGAGTCAAAAGATTTTAAACAAGAAGTCAATCGATCAGGGGAACAACAATCACCAACCATCCCCTCCAATAAATAGCAGCTCCCCCAAAAAAGAGGGTACAAATAACCCTGACCCACATCTTGACTAGGGAACATTTCATGTGGCACAGCCAGCTATACTCTCTAGAGGGCCCTGTTCACCACTACTTCCATGAGCTCTGAACTGTACAGCCCATGGGAATCACACCTGCACCACAAACTCTCTGCGTTTGCCTATCAACATTCTATCACAAAGACTGGCTCGAATCTGGAGAAGACAACAACTCCCTCCAAAGCAACAGGTACCCTTGTGCCATAAGACCCACCCGTGAGTGTGTGTTGTAAATGCTCACCTACCAACTACCTCCATTTCATCCTGGAGAAAATCTCAGAAAAATAACAATATAAAGTGCAAGGTCTTCTCCCCCCTACCCTGCTGGGTCTTTCAGGACATCCATCAAAATGGGAGCCATACAGTAAAGGTAAGCATGGGCCCTG